CAAGCCAAAAAAAAAAGGAAGTTAATTAGAAATCATGCATGATCCTAAATATACAGAAATGCCTAATGCAACACATACAAAATGCAACTATAGTAGGCTCGGCTATTCTAAGACGGCATATGAAATGCTACAACTAACATGTATTCAACTTGGAATTGAAAATACAATGCAGTTAGTATGATGCGCTGAGCCCGGTGCATGCAATACAGATGAATGAATGCAAACATGCTATCATACAACTGTATGCTAATTGAAACATGCCCTAAAATCTAACCACCATAAAGCGGATAAATTAAAGGAAAAGACGTGGGGTTGGAAGCATACATCACACTCACGCACACTTATTACAACATTGCCCTCGCGCAGAGGGTCCGAATAAATAATACAGTCCCAATGAAAGAATAGTACAGTCCAAATGTTACAAGTCCAAATAATGTACAATTCCTAATTAATTAACAAATTAACTAAGGAATAAATAAACTGGCATGCAAGCTAGGGACTGCCTTGATTCCATTCCAATGATGAATATGCATGCCCGGGTTGCCTTCGCGGAAAAATCTATGACGATTGCCCCAATTAGCCTCTGTTTGCACCTGTTCTTGAAATGCGTGCCAAGCCTCAGAAGACCGCTGATTCTTGATTTGCTGCAACAGAGAGCAGGAAATGGGCATGGCAATGTATTTTAACAAATGTAGGCATTGCTCGATCCTCGTGCCACCAATCACGCATATCGATGCATGATCCGAGGAGTCGAAATTGCACAACTCAATATGAAATGAATGCGCATGGAAAACAAAACAAGAACCTAACTCCATCATGGATGGTCCGGAGTGTCGGTGACTGGAAATTGAGACACGTTCCGTCACTCGGAGTACGAAACGCACCTCGTTTCCCGTACCCAGGCTAACTCCTATCCTGACACGATGCCAATATGCATGACATGCATGAAATGCAACTAAGATACAATCCTAACATACACAATGTTATGGAATGGCATACACGCTGCACGAGGTAATACACAACCGAGCATGCACAATGCTATGGATGAAATGGCATACGCAATGCAATAATGGGCTTTACACCAACATGAGAGAGCCTCAGCCACACTCACATAGGAAGCCATCGATAAAACAAGACAACTCGAATGTGTGCACGCGTGCACGCAAACCGAGGACCGACCCTCAGGCACCGAAATGCCACTCTAATGAGACATGGCAAAGACATGGATATGATATGCAAACATGAAAAATCAGTAGCAAAATGAGGGGCAAAACAGCCCCGAAACAAGGCGAAATGACAACCGATGCATGGAATTTCTCCCCGAAATGCAAAAACTAGGTACATGAAATGGCTTACAGCTATACAAAGCATGCATAATTGGTAACATGGAATGAAAAAGACAAGCAAGGAAGCCCCAAATAAGCATTTTTACAGTTCAAAGCATGCCAAACAGTAAGCACAAGTGGGACTAAATTATCATACAAAAATGGCTCCGCAAGGGAGGCAATGAAGCAAAAGAGTGGTAGATGCAAACCCAAAACAGAAAAAGACTCTTCTACAACACTGAAGAGGGACCAAAAATATGACTACTTACAATTTATGGAAACCCACAAAACAATATACAGTATGCTCAAAAGCCAGCAAGGTAGGCCCAAAAGAGGTCAAACACAAAGTATACAAAAAATTCATCAAACGCCAAAGACCCTTAATGAAACATGAACAAGGGGGTTCAAAAATATAGCCCACTTCAGTTCGGACCAAGCCAAAACAGAGACACAATAGGCGTAATAAGATCCATGCAAAAATGGGACCAAAAGGGGTTATAAATGACAAGTGCAATGAGAGGTCCAAAGTGATGAGCCCTTCTTAAATATTGAATAAGGGCTCAGATGACGGCGCTGATGACGATGCTCCTGGACCTTCATCCAGAGATTACACATAGGCCAAAAATAACATGCAAGATTAGGGCCTAAAGGAGAGATAAAGAAGGAAGTGCAAGATGGGGACCTCAAATGACAAAATTCCCTTAATGAAACATGAAATAGAGATCAAATAAGGGGTACTTCAAGTTTTGGTCGGAGCTCAAAACAGCAAGAAAAATAGCTAGAAAAATGTTGCAAAATTAAGCTCAAAAAGAGGGAATTGACACTTACCCTTGGACACCAACCCTTGGTTGCTTCTTGGCTTGAGAAGTGATGCCTCCTAGCTGCTGGAAAGCTCCCCAAGCTGCTGGAAATGGAGTGGTGGTGGTGATGCTAGGTAGTGGTGTGAAAATGGGATAGGATTTGGGTGTTTTTTTGAAGGAAATGAGAGAGATGGAGGGATATAATGCAAGAGGCTCTTAGGGAAGATTTTCCAACCCCAAACCAGCAGCTGGAGCTGCTGTTATAAAGGCAAAAAGGGGTGGAAAAGGGGGAAAATGGAGGGAAAACCAACCAAGTTTCCCTCCAAAAAGGCAACCCCCTCCCAGATACCAAATCCGGGGAAAATGAATACATATTTGTAATGTACCAACCCTGAGGATCATGGCCGGCCAATTATCCAAGCTGCAGGTGGCCGGCCGGCCACCTCTTATGGCCGGCCGGCCAAGGGTCAAAAAGGTCAATGAGAATTAGTAGCCGACCATATGATATTGGTGGCCTCCCATGTGTGCACAACACAACCATGTGGTCAAACACTGAAAAAAGTGACCTAGGAGAGAGAACAACCCACTTTTAGGAGGGGTTCAAAAGGGTCAAGCAACATTAGTGGCCGGCCATATGATATTGGTGGCCTCTCAGGTGTGTACATCACAAATATGTGATTTTGGGTGCAAAAAAGTGGCCCTAGGGTGGTCAACATTGGCTTGGAAATGAGAAAAAAAGGCGTCGAAGGACGCCGGAGGAATATAACTGGTTGCTGAAACAATTGCTAGCCTCCCACCCTTCTACGGCCTTCCTGGTGATGAAACAGAGGTACCTTCCAAAAATGAACGAAAATCGATGCAAAACGAATGTTCGGGGGCCAGAACACGCAGTTCGGGGCCCCGAAAACTGCATGTTAAGCACTGAAAGTGGCATTCGACCACGAAGTGGGTCTCTCACACCTCAGTGTCCCTCAAAAGGGAGTAAATAAGATGCATGCCAAAAACCGGAGCAAACGGAGGTGGTTAAGCGGTCCCGAACCGAGGCATACGGCCAACGGCTCCGAAAAACCGAAAACCGGGCTCCGCAATGGGCAAAATGACCTACAGTCACAAAATGTAGCTCACGGCCACTGAGAGATGGTCTACGGGACCTCTCCCTCCCCTCAGGAAAAGAAACAGAGAAAACCGAGCCTGGTTCGCAAACCGAGGCAAAGCACAAAAGAGTCCGGAAGTCTGGAGGCAAGGCCCGCAGCCGAGACTCTAAAACTTCTGGATGAGCACAATATGCAGTATCACCAAACGCTCAACTGGTGACGTCTGAGTCTCAAGGTCGGTCAAAAATGGGGTGTCTACAGTGTGCTGCTGTCTCAAAAAAAAAAAACTGTAATAAAATTATTAAAAATATGAAAATGACCTGTATTAAATGGAAAATAACTAAAAAAAAAATCAATAATTACATAATAATATAAAAAGTCCAGTATATAAATAAAAATTCATTCATAATTAGAATATTCTTCCATTCATAACAACACATCAATAAAATTATCCCAATACATAATGTTGCATAATACATACATAATGTTGTTCAGAAATCTAAATAACGTAAATTAAAAGCAAAAATTTTCGTCATGATTCTTCCATGGGTTGCAAAAACAAAAGTTAGTCATAATCTTTACACGCCTGCATTCCACAAGAAGCAAACTGCTACTCCGAAAATATCTGAAAATAACAAAATAAAAATAATTAATGACAATATAATTGTGTTAATATTTTAATTATAGAAAAACATAAAAAAATTAACTACTATATAATTACAAAAATAGTTTAGTAAATAATTTTGGCTAGACAGAAATCTGGCCCTAACTCCCAAACCAGAAACCCTATTGGAGTCTCGTCTTCTCCCACAAGTCTCTCGTGCCTAGGCAGTCGTGTGTGTCAAGTTTCGTGCTAAACCGACGTTTGGTGATTTTGAAGCGTCAACACCTCGAATTCAAGTTTCTTAAGGAACTAGTTTGCCTAGACCGAAATCCAGTGTGTCTACAACACAAATATGTGGTTAAAAATTCAAGAAAATGGCGCAAGGGTGTTCAACATTGGCTTGGAAGTGAGAAAAACAGGCGTCGGAGGGCGCCGGAGGAATATAACTGGTTGCTGAAACAATTGCTAGCCTCCCACCCTTCTACGGCCTTCCTGGTGATGAAATAGAGGTACCTTCCAAAAATGAACGAAAATCGATGCAAAACGAATGTTTGGGGGCCAGAACACGCAGTTCGAGGCCCCGAAAACTGCCTGTTAAGCACCGAAAGTGGCATTCGACCACGAAGTGGGTCTCTCAGACCTCAGTGTCCCTCAAAAGGGAGTAAATAAGATGCATGCCAAAAACCGGAGCAAACGGAGGTGGTTAAGCGGTCCCGAACCGAGGCATACGGCCAACGGCTCCGAAAAACCGAAAACCGGGCTCCGCAATGGGCAAAATGACCTACAGTCACAAAATGTAGCTCACGGCCACTGAGAGATGGTCTACGGGACCTCTCCCTCCCCTCAGGAAAAGAAACAGAGAAAACCGAGCCTGGTTCGCAAACCGAGGCAAAGCACAAAAGAGTTCGGAAGTCCGGAGGCAAGGCCCGCAGTCGAGACTCTGAAACTTCTGGACGAGCACAATATGCAGTATCACCAAGCGCTCAACTGGTGACGTCTGAGTCTCAAGGTCGGTCAAAAATGGGGTGTCTACAGTGTGCTGCTGTCTCAAAAAAAAAACTGTAATAAAATTATTAAAAATATGAAAATGACCTATATTAAATGAAAAATAACTAAAAAAAAATCAATAATTACATAATAATATAAAAAATCCAGTATATAAATAAAAATTCATTCATAATTAGAATATTCTTCCATTTATAACAATACATCAATAAAATTATCCCAATACATAATGTTGCAGAATACATACATAATGTTGTTCAGAAATCTAAATAACGTAAATTAAAAGCAAAAATTTTCGTTATGATTCTTCCGTGGGTTGCAAAAACAAAAATTAGTCATAATCTTTACACGCCTGCATTCCACAAGAAGCAAACTGCTACTCCGAAAATATCTGAAAATAACAAAATAAAAATAATTAATGACAATATAATTGTGTTAATATTTTAATTATAGAAAAACATAAAAAATTAACTACTATGTAATTACAAAAATAGTTTAGTAAATAATTTTGGCTAGACAGAAATCTAGCCCTAACTCCCAAACCGGAAACCCTATTGGAGTCTCGTCTTCTCCCACAAGTCTCTCGTGCCTAGGCAGTCGTGTGTGTCAAGTTTCGTGCTAAACCGACGTTGTTTGGTGATTTTGAAGCGTCAACACCTCGAATTCAAGTTTCTTAAGGAACTAGTTTGCCTAGACCGAAATCCAGCTGTAACTGCCAAACTAGGAACCCGATTCGAGTGCCGTCTTCTCCTACAAGTCTCTCGTGCCTAGGCCGTCGTGTGTGCCAAGTTTCGTGCTAAACCGACGCCGTTTGGTGATTTTGGGGCGTCAACACCTCGAATTCAAATTTCTTAAGGAACTAGTTTGCCTAGAGTGATATCCAACTCTAACTCCTAATTTGGGAACCCGATTCGAGTCCCGCCTTCTACCACAAGTCTCTCGTGCCTAGGCGGTCATGTGTGCCAAGTTTCGTGCTAAACCGACGCCGTTTGGTGATTTTGGGGCGTCAACACCTCGAATCCAAGTTTCTTAAGGAACTAGTTTGCCTAGAGTGATATCTGACTCTAACTCCCAAACCGGAAACTTGATTCGATCCCCATCTTCTCCAATAAGTATTTCGTGCCTAAGCGGTCATGTGTGCCAAGTTTTGTGCTAAACCGATGTTGTTTGGTGATTTTGGGGGCATTAACACCTCGAATTCAAGTTTCTTAAGGAACTAGTTTGCCTAAAGTGAAATCCGACTCTGACTCCCAATCCAAGAACCCGATTCAAGTCTCGTCTTCTCCCACAAGTCTCTCGTTCCTAGGCTATCGTGTGTGCCAAGTTTCGTGCTAAACTGACTTCGTTTGGTGATTTTGGGGCGTTAACACCTCGAATCTAAGTTTCTTAAGGAACTAGTTTGCCTAGAGTGATATCCGACTCTAACTCCCAAACCGGGAACCCGATTCGAGCCCCGTCTTCTCCCACAATTTTCTCGTGCCTAGACGGTCGTGTGTGCCAAGTTTGGTGCTAAACCGATGCCGTTTGGTGATTTTGGGGCGTTAACACCTCGAATTCAAGTTTCTTAAGGAACTAGTTTGCCTAGGATGATATTCGACTCTAACTCCTAAACCGGGAACCCAATTCGAGCCCCATCTTCTCCCACAAGTCTCTTGTGCCTAAGCGGTCTTGTGTGCCAAGTTTCGTGCTAACCCGATGTCGTTTGGTGATTTTGGGACGTTAACACCTCGAATTCAAGTTTCATAAGGAACTAGTTTGCCTATAGTGAAATCCGGCTCTAACTCCCAATCCGAGAACCCGATTCGAGTCCCGTCTTCTCCCACAAGTCTCTCGTGCCTAGGTCGTCATGTGTGCCAAGTTTCGTGCTAAACCGACGCCGTTTGGTAATTTTAGGGCGTGAAGACCTCAAATTCAAGTTTCTTAAGGAACTAGTTTGCCTAAAGTGATATCTGACTCTTACTCCCAAACTGGAACCCGATTCGAGCCCCGTCTTCTCCCACAAAGTCTCTCATGCCTAGGCGGTCATGTGTGCCAAGTTTCGTGCTAAACCGACGTCGTTTGGTGATTTTGGGCATTAACACCTCGAATT